CTACAATAAAAGAATAGCAAAGGAAATAAATTGGCAAATAACCATCACACTATTACAACCAATTAAAATCAGCGACCACCATACCAACTAAAAAGACCAAAAGCTCTGAAGATTTTGTTTCAGTATATAGAATGATGAATTGCCAACCAAAAGCAAACTTCATGCCAGAATCCCATCTATTTTCAAGGACAACAAATGCCTAAAATGCAATGAACCAGAAATCAGCACACACCCTTTTATCTGTAGTCAACTCAGATCAACTACAGAAAATTTTCTAATCAACACCATAATCACTTGTATCAAAAGTCACACAACACAAGAAAAGGGAAGAAAATTTAAAAGCATATTTAAAAGCAAAACAAATCTAAAATATAAAGAATATCTAATAACAAGCATTAGAGGAGCCTTTTTCAGAGAACTAATCTATAATATTCAAAATACTATTCCAAATCAACTGGATAGGAAAACCTGTCTAGGAAAAATACATTCCAGTATAACAAACTTTTTATACAAAATCTGGACAGAGAGATGTGAAACATTCCAAAGATGAAAAGCCATGATGGGCATCACAAGGAAAAAAGAGAAACAAGCAAAATATGAAACCTGAAAGGAAGATCTGACCTTCACCGAAAGAGAAAGATTCATAAAAGAACAATACACAAATCTGGTCAATAATTTTATGAATCAATGGCTCACAAACATTATAGACAGCTCCTTCATTTTTGAAATTTATTTTAGTACTAGTCCAGCCTTGGCAGGTTAGCCCTCACACAAGGGTGGCAACAAGCTGCAAGGTGAGTACCCTGGGAAAGAGAAATCTCTATTGAGTTTTTTTGGTAAAAAACAGGTAGTATATTCTAGGGTAGTTTCTCTATTTAATATCACTGCATATATACAAATAAAACAAGGTTGAGCCAGCATTTAAAAAAAAAAAAAATAATAAGAAATATTTTTTGTTATAAATTTTCTATAGATATGTAATTAATTTTATATTAATTTGATAGATTGATTATTTTTTTGAACTGTTTTGATTTTTAAGATATATAATCTAATATTATTAGTTTAAAATCTTTGTAAGTAGTTTTAATAAATGATTATATATTTGTTATTGAAGGGACAATATATGAAATAAATATTAATTCTGTATCTATTAAAAAGCTATATTACTAATTCTAAACATAATTTTTTGAAGTAATAGAAATAGCAAATGAGATAGTTTTAGACTTTATAATTAGCTTATAAGGATATAATTTTCTTCTTAAAATAAAATATTGCTAGTATATTAATAAGTTTAATAACTAGCAGTTTTTTTTTTTTTTTTTATCATGAATAAGCATTAAATATAAGACTTTATTTAAATAAAAGTATTTACTATTATTATATTAACAATTTTTACAATCATAAATTAATTGTAGCCTATCACAACAAATTTATTGATATCAGTTAATACATTAAAGGTGGACTCATGTTAATAGTGTTAAATGGTCAATGTCTATTCAAAACGATGATACTATTGCTGAAGTAAAAATTGATTTATGAATATAATTGTGTGAGTTACTTAACAAGATTGCAATAGTGTTGAATATAGTAATGTTGTTTGTGCTTGAATTTAGAGATTTAGGGCTGCTTGTTTTTTTCCACTTTATTCTAGTGGCTAGTGAAGTTGTTGCTATAGCAGAGCACTGTTTCCAGGTCTTATAGAGAACTTTAAGTATATAATTGGAAATAATATCTTTTTTTTGGAGAAGATCAAATGGGGGATTGAATTTGCAAGTGGTTAAGTTAAGCAAAGTATTTTTTGTTAATATGAAGGTGTTAATAAAGTCAGTGGATTTTACATGTTTTGGATTAAGATCAAGAATAAGGTTTTCAATTTTTGGTTTTTTTTTATTGAGTAGAGGTTTATTATAAGAGCAAAAAAAAATATGTGATAAATCCTCTGGGGCTGCATTACATTGAGGGCAGATATTGTCAGAATAATTATCTGAGTTTCACTTGTGAAGTTTATCTCTAGTTGAAAGTTGGTTGACCAAGAGTTTGGACCTAAAGGTGGATAGAGCTCTGTATTTAAATCGATCAATATTTTTAAGTTTATTGTTAGTTTTAATAATGATTTCCAGATTCGTGAAGGATGAGAGTTTATAGGAAGCTGACTTGCTAAGGAATATGTTAAATAAGTTGGTATAATAGTTTATAAATTTGATTCAATCTATTATGCTAGTTACATGTGTATTATTAATTAATGGTGAGATTGAGAATGTTAAGGGGAAGCATTGGGGAATTGAGGTGTTAATTATATAAGAAGTGTCAGCAAGTAGTTATTGATCTCTCAGTTTGTGCCACAGAATGTTAAGATTTTTTGCTACTATAATAGTATTACATTCATTAATAATTCTACTAAATAAGACTTTGATTTGTCTGTTAATATACTCTGGGATGTTTGTGTTGGGAATTGTATTTAGATATATATTTATTGTTGATAACTGTGAGATGTCAGTAAGAGTTTGATAGAAAACTGGCCAAAAAATGGCCCAGAAGTTGAGGTGTAGTATATATGTAAGAGTAAAATCAGGCTTTAAGACTGATAAGTTATTGATGCTTAAGTTGTAATATAGATGTATAGTGGTTGATTGCATAGTTGTGAGAAGTAGTGTAATTATTATTTGAGGGATTGGTTGCACTGCACTCAAAAAAGAATCTAAAAGTTCTTGAATATTGTTGAGTAAATATTTTGAGTTTGCCTGTATAGTATGCCAGACAGATTTGAGATCATGAATATTTTTTCCTTGATATAGAATTAGATTGAGCATGAATATAAGATTATTTTTTTGTTGCTAAGTTGATAATGGATACCTTTAATAATTGCAAAGGAAAAAGTGTTGATGTGTACTTTGATAAGATTGATATAGTTATATCTTGAAAAGCCCAAAATTTAATTTTTGTTTTGTTTGAGAGAAATGTTGTATCACCGTAGATAGTTACAGAGGTATTTGGAATAGTAGAGAACCAATTGAGAATAGGGGCAGATATTATTCATCCTTTGTGCATATATAATTTTTCCCAAGTTAGTTTAGTTTTTTTTTTGTATATATATGTGTTCTGAATGGTTTTAATATTAGAGGAATATAGTGAAAGAGCAGTTGCTTTTGTAAGTTTGGTTTTAAGCCAATTGAGTTTTCATGGTTAGTATGATTAAAAGGGTAGGAGAGTAGACAGATTCTGACGTTATATCTTTTGACTAGTAGGGCTGCTAATATTATCCATGAGTCAGTAAAGTAATAAGGGAAACATATTGGACAGCACCAGATTGCTTGGGTGGCTTATATTGATATGATTTCTCTTGAAGTGACAGAAAAGATTTTTTAATTGGTGAGTTTAACTGTCAAAATTTTAATGGTAGTAAGATCATTATGGTTTTGAAGTTTAACAATGTTGAGACTTGCTAGTGAGTATAAAATTTTATTGAAAATAGTATACTCAACACCTAATTTTGCTTTAATTGGTTTGTTTATTTTCTTTTGAAGGATGGCCATTTCATTATCTGATGGGACTACAGCATTGATGGCATATTCTAATTGTACTGATATAATCCAATGAGAAGCTTGTCCAGTTATTAAGCCATTCTATTCTTTTTGTGATGAAATTGCATTGGTGAACTTTTGGATTTTTTCTAATAACTTATTTTTTGTAAAACAAAATGAAGATTTGCCCAAGGATAAACTCTAAGGTATCTGATATCCTTCTTATATGGTCTAGGATAGATTTTTTCCCCTTCGGTTATGAGGAATTGGTTTCTTTTTTGATTGGATGTTTTGAGATTGGTGATTAACTCAATTTTTTTATGATTGCATTTAATGGAATTAAGAGATAAGAAGGAACAGTAAATGTTTGTTACTTCTTGGAGGACTTGTATATTAGAACTTGCTAAGGCAACATCATTCATGTAAGCAAGGATTTTGGAGGTTAATGAATATTCAGTTGATATTTTGGTTACTACAGGGTCATAAAAGATGGTCCAAAGTAATGGAGCTAGGGTTTTCCCTTGATCAATCCCTTTGCTTACTTTTAGGGGTTTGGTAAGTTCATAATAAGTTATTATTTTCAGTTCTCTTTTATTTAAAATATCAATAATAAGTGAGATGAATTTGTTTGATAGTTTGATATGATTCATTGCTTTCTTAAGACTGATGATATTGATAGAATCAAAAGCTTTGGAGATGTCAAATGATGATATCCATATTTCCTTGTTAAGATTATTAGTGGTATTGATGCATGAGCTAATAATTGTGATTGACTCAGTGATACTTTAATTTTTGAGGCCAGTGAAGTTGGATTCTAAGAGAGCTTTATGCCTTAAAATACAATTAACAAGTCTGTCATTTGTGATTTTTGTAAAAATTTTTCTGCTTGTTTCAATAAACGAGATCGGGTATGTGTCAGTGAGATCATATAACTAGACAAGTTTTTTGGATAATACTATAATGACTGATTGTTTCTAGAATTTAGGAATTTGATCTGATATTAAAATGTTGTTTAATAGAGCTAAGATAATTTTTTTTACATATGAACCTATTTGGATCCAAGCTTTATAAGGAATAAGGATGAGCCTGAAGGCTTTACATTTGGAAAGGTCAGTAAGGACTTCTTCCAGATCCTGCATAGATAATATTGAGCCAAGATTATTATAGGCATTGTCAGGGATATGGTTCAGTGGTTCATAATTTGCTAACTATTTGTTATTAATAACAAAAGGTTTGGGTCTAGAATTTTTTTGAAGTGATCGAATATGATAGTTGCAAGCCTGTCAGGGTCATCGTGAAGTTGGATGTCTTCTCTTAGAAGAATTGAAAGGTCAAAAGAAAGTTTCAGATCTCCTAATGCTTTTTTGAGAGTGTTTTTAGGCCTAGTCCAAAATCTATGATAATTCAATTCTATACTTTTTTATACTTCTTGGATAATAATATCATTTAATTTAAATAATTTTTCCTTGATTAAAGTTTTCAGCAGTTTTTGTAGGTTTTTGATGCAGGGACGATTACTGGTAATTTTTCATAAAGCTGATAAGGTGATAGCTGAAAGTTTTGAGAAGACATCTTTTCCATTATTTTTTTTGATATATTAATTACTCTCTTGGCAGCTCTTATGGCACTAGAGTAATTTTTGAGAGGGTCTATGTTATGGGTGGGTGTCATGCACTTTCACTTTGGAATGTTATTGTCAAGAGGGTTTTTGATGGTATTTTAATAACTAGTAGTTTAATGATAGGAAGGTTTTTTTTATTTATAGCTTTATAATATATAAGCTAGCTTATAAATGAAGTATTTTATTTGAAATAGTTTGTTTTATTTCTAGTTTAAACTTTATAATTTTGTTTATTTAGATTATAAAAGGTAATTTTAACTTTACTTAATATAAATATTTGAGTGGTATATTTTAATTGAACTAAAATAATTTATTGGGATATTTGTCTTATTATTAATCCATTTGGGTTTTTTTAAATTAGTAATTGCAAATAAAAAGTTAAAAATTTGTTGTTTCAATTTCAATCTAGTTGAATAGAATAAAAAGTAACTTCATAAATAACTAATCAAGTATTTAATAGACCTTGTAGACTTTTAATAGTCTTTTCTATATTTTTTAATATTATTTTATCTCAGTTTACTTATAGTTTCTTTAAAAGAAAATAAATTATGTTGACATTTCTATAAGCTTCAAAGTTTTCCTTAGAATTGCTATTTCTAATTTGATTTTTTTTTATTGAAAATAAAATAGATTTTTTTCTTTTTGAGAGATTATATATATTTTTTATAATTATTATTTCAAGTTTATATTAAGCATCTTCAAGTTTTGAAGAATTATTTTTTGTACTTTGTTGAAAGAATTGGAAATTAATTTTTAAAAGTTTGCATTCTATCCAAAATTTGAATTTTTCACATTGTTTAGTTGTGAAATTTGTTAAATTAAATATTTTTTTTCTTTTATTCTATATTACTTTTGAGTTTAATGTTTAAATAAGTTGTTTATTATTATTATTACTATAGTTACTATCCAATAATATTTCTATAAAAATGGTTTTGAAGTTATATATATTGTTAAAACTAATTTTTTGTGATGATTAAATATAATCAATTCTATTATATAATATATTGTTTATTTATATAAAAGTGCTATTCACTTTTGTTACTTTTAACAAACTCTTTCCGTTGATTTTCAGATCATACATAAAAAAGATATTCGCAAAAAGTTTTATACTTCTTTGCTAATAAAGTCTTTACACTTTCATTAAAACAACTTGTAGCTTATCTTCAGGTATCTCTTTTACCTTTCCTTACTTGTTTATAAACTCTCTTGAATAAAAACTTAAGCCTCTAGCGGTCTAAAAAGACTCAAGTACACACTTCCTCTATTAAGGGCAAGAAGATTCTAGGAAGTAAAAGAACTGACAAGTGGAATGTCATCTTACAGAGTTGGAAGTAACAAGATATAGAAATTCTGCTGACAGGAGAAGGCTTATTTTCCACCTTCTCATATACTGTCTTATACCCTCTTAAAGTATTTACTATTTTTCACAGTTTTCTTGAAAGATTTTGTCTATCTCAGTTTAACCCTGAATTTTTAGTAATACAATGTCACCTGGCATCTAATTGGTTGATATGAAACACATTAGTAGCTGAATATAAACAAGAACCTATTGGTCACCTCATGTGTTCCAATGACGTCATTGGTGATTGAAATAGAAATCAAGAATACAAACTTCTCTACTCCTCCAAATGAAGTTTAACTGAAACAAAGAAATAATGAGGCTATTAAGATGGGCACTAAATTTCTTAGGTGGTGAAAAGGTGGTTATTTGTTCAAGTCAAGACCTTTAACTTCTTATTATCCTGGTCAGACAAAGTACGTGAAGAAGATTATTTCCTTATCCTGGTTAGGCTGTAAAACTAAAAAGCAGAGAAATGTAAAACACTACCCTTCTCTAGAATTGAGAATGTATTTCCCCAGATGTTGAGTAATGATATCGCAATTAAGATGAACACCAGTAAAATTCCTTTAGCTAGGCGTGGCTGCTGGAAGATATTGGGAGTTACCTAACGAGACTGAAAAGCTACATAAGAACCTGGAGTTCACTATTAGTCATCTTTTTCTGTGTGGGTGGATACAAAATCAAAACCAAAAGAAAGGAAGTATTGAGCAAGACACTGGATTCAAGTAGGCAATAAATATCTCACATAGTTGCAAGAAAATAATCAAGAACACAGATAGATAAGTTTCTTAGACAGTTAGGAAGAAGAAGGATATCCCAGAAGGGTTGACTCCTAATGAGAAAAGGATTTTAGCAAAGGTTCTTTGAAGGACATGAAGTATTTTAATTTTCTTTTTTTCTTTTCATTTTCATATAGTACACTTGCACATTTTTAGATATTCCCTTTCCTTTTATTTTTTATTTTTCCTTTTGTAGTTTCTCAAATTCAGTTCCTTGGAGGATAATAAGCAGTAACAACCTGCTGGCAATGATGGATATGTTAGGAGGGTCTTCATCCAAAACTTAGTTTGGAGCAAAATATTGTTCCCAAGGTTGCATTTAAAGACTGAAGCTCTTTTGAGAATTGTAAGCCATTGACGAGTGTGTCAGTACAAGTCTTTTAGTTTAGCCATAATGCAATTGTCCTATATATCTCTATCAGTTTTTTTAATGATTAATAAACACACAGTACTGGCCTAACCATGGGTATTAAAAAAAAAAAAAGTGCTATTCTCTTTTTTTCAAGAGTTTTGATATCTATATAATTTTAGTTTTCTAGAAAATTAAAAAAATCTATTTTAACTTTTCTATATACTGTATATATACAGTATATATATTTTTTCAAAGAACAAAAGATAGACAACTCTCTTCATTAATCATATGATGCAGTTAAACAAAAATACTATGAAAAAAAAACTCTATGCATATACTTTTGAAACAACTGCTTGATATGAACTTTGACTGAAGACTTTGAAGCAAGACTAGCTACACCAAAACATATCTAAATGAAAACTTCATTAACAAAAACAATGAGAAAACTATCTGAATTGCAAAAATGACCATTTCACTGAAATCTCAATCCACAGGTACAAAAGAAAACAATGATTACATAATAAATACTACACTCACAAAAAATTACCCCTTTAACATAAATACAAACCTCTCTCCTATCATGCCCAAAACTATAACCACTAGCAATGACATGAAGGAAATCATAAACAATTTGCAAGAATAGTAAGAAAACAATCCTGTCACTCATTCAAAACCATACCGCAACCATGCCACAATCCAGAAACTGGGATGATATAGTAGCAGCAGAAATGGAATTCAATAATAATAATGGGAATAAAACATTCACACTTTAGCTATAACCAAAACTAGTTTATAGCTAGAAAATATACATTAACAAAAAACAATGGTCAACATCTTTCTGACCCTCTCATGCAGATTCTTTTCTCCTAGAGATTTGACCAGTAATAGAAGATGATTAACTATCATCAAAATTTCTGATCTACTTGGAAATAACAAACAAAAGAAAATGTTCTTTATCAAAATTGAACTAAAAGATTTGGAGGGACTAATCAGTGCTCAAATGATACAAAAAAGGAAAAACAAAGAATTTCACATACTCCAGGACAATAAAAATTCAGCAATGGAAGCATGCAATCATACAATTGGCATTACTCCAAAAAAGAAATTCATTATCAGAGCCCATTTTACAAACACCCATTGTATCAATAGCATCATAGTATAAGATATTCTGCTTCAAATTAGAACCCAAAATATTCACAATAATTATATCAAATTTGATGAAATTCAGGAAATCATCCTCAAAACAAACACTATGTAACAAATTGCAACAATTTAATTCAGTTCAAATCAAGCAAAACAACAAGCCTTTTCTAACTGGTTCATATTTATTGGGATTGAATTTATAAGAATCTTTGTTACTAAATGGATGTCAAAACAAATAAGAAACTATTAGGACAATGCACTAAGATTATGCAACCTACCACTAGGCACAATAGTATATGACCTCAAGAAACTAGTTTTGTTAGTCAAAGGCAAGTTCTGCTATATTCTGAGAAATAACAACTATAGAAGAAAACATTTCGCAATAATTTTCTTTGTCAAGGAGACACAACTGGAGCCAATTATCAACTTAAACCCCAGTATACAAGACATCAAACTTAAATGAATTGCCATGCAAGTCAAAACTTGCATGATCTATCAATCAGCTAAACATCTTGCCATTGATTGTCATATTTGCTAACAATAAAAAGAGAAAGCTGAACTTAACAGAAATATTATACATAAATTTAGCAAACTTTACAAAAAATTCAAATCAGCAAAAACTGGTAATATTATTGCTCTAATAATACAAAACAGAAATAAAATAACTACAATAGGAAAACAATCTAAAAAACTCTCATATATAAAAATAATTAAACAAACAATGCAATTCGAGGAATTTAGTACTAAAGAAATCCCAAACAATAACAACATTTACAATGTTTTACAAAAAATATCAAAAAAAATTAACAATATAGAAGAACAACTGGCAGACATGAATGATCATATCAAAATTCTCAAAACCTATTTTGACAGTTCACCTTGTGAGAATGACTATGATAAAACAAGTTTTAATGAATACCAAATGGAAAAACTCAAACAAAACTGAGATAAAGATATCTTCTTCCCTTCAGAAACACAAAAACAGGTCACCATTCCAATCTAGCAAGTAAAAAATTAGCAACAATCTATTCAAAACAATATACAAAGATGCACCAAGATTTCAACTAGCTATACAGAACTTTGATACACAGCATAATAACAATATCACATTTAATCAAGGATATCAAACAATATCCACTACCCTTAATAATCAATGATAGACATGCTGACCTCTTACTACCCACACCAAAAAGCACAACAAAAGAATACAATACTTCTCGCATAACTTCTCTCCATTAAATATATAACCCACTTTTCTCTCCTATTACTATATACAAAAATGATTACAAAAAAAAAACTTTGTGACATCTATCTTCTCAAAAAAAACTAAACCAAAACAATAACATTAAAATAGACACAACAAAGACAAACCATTCTAGACTATCACCACACTCAATTTCAAGGCTTAAATAAACCTCACAAAAGAGAAACATG